TATGTTTCTATTTATGCAATTATGTATTTATGTATGTATGTATGTATGTATGCATGCATTCATACATATACATATATATATATTTATATATACAATTATATATACATTTATATATATATTTATATATATATATATATAAATAAATGTATATATATATATATATATATATATATATACATATATATATATATATATATATATATATACACATATATATATATATGCAAGTATATATATATATATATATATATATTCATTTATATATATATATATATATATATATACATTTATATATATATATATATATAATTTCTATATATTTTGGCTGCTCCAAGATCTGCATGTATTCTGCCTATAGTATCCTACAAAATCTCTTGACCCCTTTTCAACCGCACCTTTCTTGGTATTTTGCACAAACATCTATACAGCACAAATGTTTCATAGTGGCTACATGTGATAAAGATCTCAAGCGACGACTGAGGAAGGTTCCGGGAGTTCCCATTATGGGTATAACACAGCGCAAATATAATGTGGAACGGATGCCGGACTCCAACTTCCAGGGGACGCGATAGTTGTGCCTGTATATCGTCTGCAGGTATGTGGTCATTCGTCTTGCACAACCTTGTCCCATTTATTGAGATAGTCGCGGTGGCTGTGGTACTTCAAATGCCGTCACCTGCCACCCCTTTGCGTATCGCTTAGTAACACACGCGTCGATGATGTGTGTATAATGGTTACTTGGAATATACTTGCTATGCAACGAACTGAGTGATGTGTGTAGTGGTTACTTGGTATAAAGTTGCTGTGCAACGAGCCGAGTATAGGCAATCCATGCTGGAATTCTATAACAAATCCATCTAATTCTGTTCGCAACTGAGACGCCCCATTGCCTGACGTCCGCTCATTGTCGTATGTCCACCTCAGATCATCAACCGAGTCCTAAACACGGATTGGCACTGAACACTCGCTTAGAAGACACACCCACTACCGAGCTTATAAGTACATCTATGCGAGAAGTGAACAGACGAGTTCGGCCACGAGTGGTGGTGTGACTTGTGTCACATAACATAACATGCGCAGGACTGGCATCACATAGACCACTTGCAGAGGCTGCTTTGACAGTGAGATGACAGTGACGGTCAGCGTAAGGGATGGGCGACGGGACGTCCAAGCCGGCATCCCAGTACAGCAGTGTGGTACATCTCTTATTGTGGATGTGAGTGACAGAGAAAGGGATCGGAGTGTACGCTAGGATGCTTGTGGCACCCATCCCCCCCATTCTCAACTTCTATCTACCAGAATGCAGACCGAGTATCTTAACACCAACATTTAGATAGTGTATATAAATAAACCATCTTTAGCATCATCTTCACACGCCCTTCCCAGATAGCATGTGCATCTGTCTGGCACAGTGAACTGGCCCAACAGGCCTATACTTCTGTGTTGTACGTAGTCTATCTTGAATGAATTGCTGATACGACAAGCATAGTCAGTTTAATGGGCAAACAGACGTAGGCCACACACCCTACAGTTGAACCACATTTCCCTTTTCTTCACAAATCCGATTGAAGGCGTGTGATGTGCACAGTAGAGACTCGTGCGTATGCACCAGAGACAGCATTACATTTCGGTACAAACACAGGGCAACCACTGCGTAGAGGCTAAGGACAATAGTTAAATACAGCGGATAAGTCTACACACCTTACACCTCTCTGTAGGTATATACCGAACTATGAACGATGGCTGATTAGACAAAGATAAGGTTTGGAATTTGATACCTCATTTATTTATATGCCCAGCAAATCGAGGAGGTGATGCAATTTACAGGCTTCAGTATTCCTCTCGCATTCCATAGTCACTCAATGAAGTACCTTCTAGCACTTATCCTCGTGTGTTCAGCCATCGCATTTAGTTGTGGGCGTGTATATACTGAGGTGTATAGCAATGAGGTACCCTCTAGCACTTATCCTCATGTGTTCAGCCATCGCATGTAGTTGTGGGTGTGTATATACTGAGGTGTATAGTATTGAAGTACCCTCCAGCACTTATTCTCGAGAGTTGAGCCTTCAACTATAGTTGTGGGTGTGTATATAGTGTGGTGTATATTAATGAAGCACCCTCTAGCACTTATCCTCGAGAGTTCAGTCTTCAACTATAGTTGTGGTTGTGTATATAGTGAGGTGTATAATAATGAAGTACCCTCTAGCACATCCTCGTGTGTTCAGCCATCGCATTTAGTTGTGGGTGTGTATATAGTGAGATGTATATCCATGAAATACCCTCTAGCACTTATCCTCGTGTGTTCAGCCATCGTAATTAGTTGTGGGTATGTATATACTGAGGTGTATAGCAATGATGCACCTTCTAGCACTTATCCTCGTATGTTCCGCCTTCAACTATAGTTGTGGGTATAGTGAGGTGTATATCAATGTATTACCCTCTAGCACTTATCCTCGCGTGTTCAGCCTCCAACTATAGTTGTGGGTGTGTATATAGCGAGATATAACATCCTCCCATTCACCTGCCCACGCCATCCTGATAACTGTCTCCATAGAGACATTGGAACATTTCATCCACACTAAAACCCTAAACCCTGAAACATTTGTCCCCTGCCTCCATGCGGTCTGTGTCCTTAATGACGCCGTACTGCGACTGGCCCAACGGCGTGGGGTGTGAAGGATGAGCTGAGAAAAGAAATAGTCAGAGATACAAAACTACAGATATTTAAGGTGTTTCTATAATAAGCGCGACTATATTCATCCCACGACTATTTTTAAATATAGGGTGCAGGGCTTAAAGTTTTAGGGTTTCAGGCTTTAGCTAAAACCCATCGATGTTTTATTTCGCAATTGCAATGTAGCCGTACTCTCCACACGGGCGCTCAGCTTGACTGTTCTGCAACGAACAGACCATTTCCTGATTGGCATTGAACCCTGATATCTGCAGAGGGGTAGTGCAGGCGGAATAGATAATGTGAGTGCGATTTATAGTAATATGCATTATGTATCAAACGCTAATCAGTAGAAGAGATGCTTGCACGCGCACTGTGCTGCATCGAGAGATTTAAGAAGCACGATATACTACGCGAGCGATGGTGAATTGCGCACGAAAATACAGAACATATATATATATATATATATATATATTCATACATGCATACATATATATATATATATATATATATATATAATAAATACATCTATATAAATAAAAAAACATAAAAACATAAAAACATATATATATATATATAATATACATAGAAGGACCGCCCGAGAGCATCGACAAATAAAGATGACGCTCAATCATATACCTTAACCAGCGGTTGGAGTACCTGTGTAACCATATTCTTGTGTGAATCCAACAGCAGATCGCCTTTATCATCGAAAGCTTTGTACGCGCCACCAACGGCAGCTGTTGATAGGAAAATGTAGCTAGTTGTGAGTGCAAAATGCGAGAAAACGGAATGCGTTCAGTATTTTTGGACATCTTACCTACCCCACACATGTACTATACAGAAGGTTCACTATACGAATACAGAACAAACGCATGTCTGTTTTCAGGTCTTTATAGTCACACTGTCAAAAGTTAAAGCATCATAGAGTACACGTAGATGCGTATGTGAGACCCTCTAGGTATGAGCATACACGAACAGCTTCACAATGGTTCGTATGCAGCAATTTCAGTACGAACCCATACATATACATACATACATACATACATATATATATATATATATATATATATATATATATATATATATATATATATATATATATATATATATATATATATATTATGTGTATTATATATATATTAA